TTATAATACCCCTTTTTTTTTTTTTTTTTTTTTACATAAAACTAAAGGTTATAATCAAATTAAAGTTCTGTTCCCATTAACGTTGTGCTAAGAGTCTCTCCTAGGTTGCTTATAGGAAAAGATAGGAAGCTACATGCACAAAACACTGCAAATGTAGATACAGTAGAAAGGGTTTTTTTAGAACATAGCATGGACTAACTTCAAAGGAGAATCACTTAAAAAAAAAAACAAACCAACTAGTACAACCATGAGACTTTTGCTTCTACAAGCTTTGGCAAGTGAAAGCTTATCTTTATAGTACTGAAAGCTTATCTTTTTAGTTACAGGAAGCATGACCTTTGATGATGCGTATGTAACCAAACATGGATATTCTGAAGTTTATGCTTAAGTTACAGTTGTGGCTGAGTATGCACGTTCAAATAACATGGGAGAATTCTCCTGGTAGAGAAACTTACCCAGAGCCAGCACACAGGCATTCAAATAGAGGCCCTGAAGAGCAGAGAGCTTGCAATACTGACACTGTGCAGCCAGGGGGGCCTCTGTGCCCACATCTCAGCATGCTCTGTAGGCCCCCTTAGTCTACCTAGTAACGGATGGCAAAAGTGCATAAGGCAGCCCTGACTGGTTGACTCAGACTGCCCGTGGTCAGCCTACGCTTCCCTGCAGCACAATGTGGGGATTGTGAAAGGGGCATGTTCTGCTCCCTACTGGAGCAGCAGAGTCCAGTAAGTGACATATTGTCTCCCTGAAGGGGAGGGGAGGATGCTAGAAATCTATGTTTTCTTCTGAAAAGTCACAGCATGTACAGACATTCAAATCTCCCTAGCCTGGGCCGCTCCCGTGGTTGCTCTGTACCACCCACCCAGGATGAGCGGCACCAGTTGAGCAGAAGCTGCTGCTGGGCGCAGAGCAAAAGAAACTGCCTCCCCCTGCCATTGCCAGCCCTTCTTGCTGCAGCTGCCTGAAGCCTGCACCCAGCCCTGAGCTCCTCCCCACCGCTGGCACTGCTGCCTCTGGACCACCCAGCGGGACACCAGTGGCAGTGGAGAGGAGAGCAGTTCCCCTCCCCTGCAGAGCAGAGGGGCTATTCTGCTGAAAATGAGCAGGCAGCTGTGTAGCTCTCTAGTCAGGGGGCTGATATGCCAGTCCATCCCCCTTCTCACAATATTTTTACAGTGCTAAGAAATTTCAGAAAATTCCCAAGAGTACTGTAGAGCAGGGGGCCTGCAACTGCATCTCTGTTCATGCTCTATGTCTCCATGGGGAAACAAACAGGTTCCTGCCTTGAGAAAAATGTCAAAATGGGAGGCAAGTGGTGTAAGAATAATATAAGGATGCCTAAAAGAAGGCACATTGCAATCAGGGATAGAGTCAAATCCCAGAAACTGCAACCCACTACAGTTTCTATTACAAATAAAACCACGAACTACTCTGAATGTACAATGCAACTAGTTGAATACTGCAGCAGATGTATAGCTCTTGATTTCATGACTTGTCCACTGTGGTCTCAGTATACTTGTGCAGCATACCAATCTACTGCACACACAAAAGCCGGAAGTAGTAAACTATGCTCATAGACGTAAAGGTCTCTACTGTTTCATTCAGTATCTTTCTCCTCCTCTCCCTAACCATATCATAAAAGTTTGTCTTTGAAAGATTTTTTTTTATCTTTATTCTCTTCTACTTCTCTTTTATGATTGTTAATCAACAACTTGGAAGAAATTATTCAGAAATTATTATAGATACTGTTATGAGTTGCATGTAACTGGAAGAACTTAGTGAAAATGTGCATTTTAAAATTTTCTTTCATTGTGCGTTTGCCAGCATTTTGTGAAGTAAAATTAATTTTTTTCTTCTTGCACCTTTACTCAGCTTTTCCCTTGACAAAGCAGCATCAGAACAGCTGAAAAAAATCTGATGTACTTTTAAAAACGACTATATGAAAATAATATCTGAAGTTACTATGTGATATATCAAATGTGTTAAAACGTGCTATATCAAAATTGTTTATCAGTCATTTTTTTAAAAAGCTGACAGCATTCCTTTAATTTAAAAAAATGTTTAATGAAATTCTGCCCATCAGCATGTACAGTTATATACCGAGGTATTTAGAATAATTGGCCTCTGAAAATGTTCATCATCAGAATCCTACATTTTAGTTATTCCCTCAGAATTTGAGATAACTTTGCTTCAGTGAACAATAATCTAAGATTTACTGCTAGAAACATTAATAGCATGATGTAAAGAATTAAAAAAAAAACCTTAGAGCCAAAAAGTGAGCAAAACATCTCTCTCTCAAACTGTGTCATGATGCTCACGAGACCCAGGATCTAGTTGACAAGGACAAATTCTGAAACCCAGATGCTCATTATTAAGCAAGTCTGGACAGTTACGAAGTCCGTGCTAGGGACAAAGAATTTCCTGGAAAACTTAACTGCAACTATGGAAGAACAAAAACAATGAATAAAAAAGTGTTTTAATAAAATATATGGCAATAAGATGGTTGGCAATATACCATTATTTAGCAACTGCACATGAAATCATCGAAGTTTTACAGTTTGTCATCATGTTGAATTGTACTTCCTAGCAAACAAACTAGTTCAAATCTTGAGCTTTAACAAGAACACACAAATGCATTGTATACTGATATACTACAGAGATATCAAAGGCAAAGATGGACATTTCAAAATCGCTGTTAGAAAGAAAAACATTAAGCTCCTTGAATTACCAGAAGCACGATGCTGTGGGTTCATCTACATTTGTGGTTTTTGACTTTTTCTGGACCAGGACCTATTTAAAAACATTGATGGCCGGTCCTGACCCAGTAAATAGTTTAAATAGAAAACAACCCCCTGGCCCTGCCAGTGCCACTCACTCCTAACCCACAGCTCCCTAGCCGTGCTGGTGCCCTTCACTCCTGACCTACTGCCCCGTTCCTGGGGTGGGGTGGGGTGGGAGAGATGTGGGGCATGGGGCTGCAGCTTGGCTGGACCAGCATGGGTGGGAGCCTCCTCAATGGCCTAGAAGGTGGGACCCAGCATGGGAGGCCAGACAGGGGTGACGAGACTTGTTGCTGTTGCCACCACTGCCAGGACCCCCACGCCAGCTGTGCCACCAGCAGCGCAAGGAGTAACAGATAAGGGGGCAGGGGGAAAGGGGAGTTTCGCTGCTCTCGCTTCCTTCTGCCAGCTGCTCACAAGCTGGACTGCGGCTATACTCTGCTACTACGGCCTGGCTGCTGCAGCTGCCCCCCCTTCGGCCACCTGCACTGCCTGTCACCCCACCTCTCCTCTGGGATACAGCTGCAGCTTGAGGGGAGCAGCTGTGGTAGGGCCATGGGTACAGCTGCGGCAGGGTGTGCAAGTGGCAGGAGGAGGTGAGGGCAAAGTGCTCCCCCTCCCTCCCATCCATTACTCCTCATGCTGCTGGTGGTGCAGTTAGCATGGGAGTCCTGGTGGTGGTGGCAGCAGCAATGAGTCTTGCCACCCCACTCCACATTCCTGCACTGGGTCCTGCCCACTGGGCCATGGAAGTGGCTCCTGCCTGTGCCGGTCTGGCCAGGCTGCTGCTGTGTGCCTACTGTGGGTACACAAATCTGGGAGGGCCG